TCTATCTCTCCCTCTCTCTTTCTTTCTCTCTCTATCTCTCCCTCTCTCTTTCTTTCTCTCTCTATCTCTCTCTCTCTCTCTCTCTCTCTCTCTCTCTCACCTCTCTCCCTCTTTCTCTCTCTCTCTTTCTATAACCTTCTCTGTCTTTCTCTAACCTTCTCTCTCTGTGTCTGTCTGTCTCTCTATCTCATGCACTCACTCTACTCGTGCTGCTTATCTGTTCAATCTCAGCTCGTCTGTCGCCACCATATAGCAACAATTTTAATGCATTCACACAATTCTATGCAGCGTGAGTAACCCCCCCCCCCGAAACCTTAACATGCACACCAGCTAGATAGCGTCCTAGTACTCACGCGCATCATTAGGCGTAATTCTCTTGTTCATCCTGTTATATATTAATGTATGTTCTGTTATGTATGTTCTCAACCTACTGCAGACGGGACCACCGAGCGCACTGACGCCACCAGATAGCGACTATTACACTTGCACAAACAGGGTTCCCTATCAACCTCTGTGTGCACACGCGCCGCCAAACTGCACGTTCCCTAATACCAAGAGTCCACAATAGAAAAATGGACGCTTTATCTAATTTCTATTAATCATCTTTTTTATCTTTAAATTTTTTTTAATTATCTATTTTTTATCTTTAAATTTTTTTTAATTACCTATTTTCTATTATGGACTTATGCTAATACCCACTGCGTGTGCCGCTTACACGTCGAGTGTCACCTATATACAGGTAACCGAGGACGACGACGATCTGAAGCCTTACGCGCCATCCTATGAGTCGGTGCCCGGACAGAACTCCTCGTACCGCCAGCTCGGCGACATACAGACGTGGACGGCGCCGCATCCAGACAAGGCGGCCGATGCTGAAGAGGGGTTGGTGACGGCTGATGCTGCCGTGGAAGCAGAGCCTGCGAGCGGCGCGACTAGCGGCATTAGCAGCAGAGCAGAAAGTCCGGCCGAGAGACTCGCCTGTACGTCTATGTGCCCGTAGTAGAGAGAGAGAGTGCGTGCGTGGGTGCGTGGGTGCGTGCGTGTGTGTGTATTTGTGTGTGTGTGTGTGTGTGTATATATATATATGTGTGTGTAGAGAGAGAGTGTGTGTGCGTGTGCTTGCGAATGTATACATATAAGGAACGCGTGCGTGCGTCTGTGTATATGTAGAGAAAGAGACAGTGTGTGCGCGTGTATACATCTAAAGAGGGAGAGAGAGAGAGTGTGTGTGCGTGTGTGTATATACATGCATAAAGAGACCGTGTATACATGTTACTTGTACAAAGAGTATGGCTGTGTGTGTGTATGTGTATACATCAAGAGAGGGAGATGTAATGTGTTGCATACGTTAAACAGATAGTACGGTTATTGTTTCATGACATTCGAGTGAAATCTCTATTCTCTGCCGTTGTCGGTCTTTTTTTAAGATTTTAGCACTTTCCTGTACTTATCTCAATGATATGCCAGTATATTCTCCTGCCCCTTCACTGTAAGAGCAGTGCTTATATATTTTTAGTTTATTGTTTTTTCTTTAAGATTTCTTAGAGCTTTTGTTTTAGAGATACGGTATCTTAGTGGTGTATCAAATCTCCTGCTAACATATAGGGGAATTTCAGCACTGCCAGCACCACCACCCAGATGCAGTATTACTTTGCTATAGTGTTCATCGTCAAAGGTTTCTGATGTTTTTTCTGCGTTATTATTTTTTTTAAATGGCTATCCGGAAGTATACTCTGGTGCATTGCCATTGTCCCCTCTCTCTCTGACTTCTATCTGCAGAGGGTCTGGTTTAGACGTTTGAGTTTACTGTAACAGGTCACTATATTTGGATTTATATGTAAAATGAGAACTAACGTTGCATAGCGGTTACTATTGACTCTAACCTTCAGCAGCCGTGTATCGCTGGGAGCTACAGTTTACCGTTCGTAAACACATTTACTTCGAGAATAACCGCAGCCGAAAACAAATACTCCGCTCGCCGTTTTCCGACTCGTCTCGTGTTTTTCCGCCCCAGAAAACGCTCGCGCGCGCACGCGAGGGAGGGGGAGGGGGGCCGTGTGGGAAGCCACGCTGGTTTTTGCGGTTTCGAAAAACACGCTGAAATTCGACGAGTGAACCGCGAAACTGGGCCGCTCCGTTTTAGGAGCGGGTCGACATGAGCGACCCCTCGGCTTTGGTTGTTTCGCTCAGACCCCACCAGGTGGCGCCCTGTGCTGCCAGTACGCTGCGTCATGCCGCTCGGGGGCAACAACAAGTAGATTGAAGAGTCTGGCGTGATGCATGTTTTTAACCAGCAGGAGCGGTCTTTCGCGTCGCCATGGCGATCGCATCAATATCGTAATCGCTTCTCCGTTAATTACGCGTGTAATCGTATGCGCGGCGTGTAATCTATTATGCTGTTTCTGCTGACTCGTGGAGGCAGCGCATCGTTTGTTATATTGTGTTACATGTTTGTACTGAACGTGCACCGACATGGAATCGTGGACTGTTCTTTCTCTGATGTGTTACTGAACGTGTTCAGATGTGGAACATCAGATTGTTCATTTCCAAATGCATTACTGAACACGGAACGATGGGTGAATGGTATGGGAATGACATCTCGTGTTGTCATGAACTGAGACAATGTGACATTTGTTTTCCTGCCTAAGGTATAATCTTCTTTTTTTTGTGGCGATTTTCTTCCCAGTCAAAAAATTCCTCAATGAGCGATGCCACGCAGCGGCAATGGCTTCTTATCCTAGTCTCAGTCTCCGTCACTGCCAGTTGTTCTGGGTTACTACAAGAGTAGCTCTTTGTTGGCAAAGTACAGAAGCAACATGGTGGCATAAGCATAGGTGGGGCAGGTGTGGCATTTCATTTCTGTTTCCGACTCGTTGCATTGCTGTTTTTGGACACATCTGTTTTGATACATTATTGAGAATTTTTTGTATTATAGTATATCAATAAATATGTAAGTGTACAGGGTGAAGATGGACTTTCAGATATCATTAGTGTGGCTTCGATCGTGTGTATCATCATAATAATATCGTATAGTGAGAGAGGGGGGAGAAAGAGGAGGAGAGAGGACTAGGTTTTAGTCGACAAAGAAGTAACAGTTGATGAAAGGAGAAATCCTTGCAACAGCACACTATTAGCTTCAAATAGAGAGAAAATTAAATTTGTTGAGTCGCACTAAAAAACGAAACATTTCTAATGTGAAGAGAAACCTTGTCCAGAAGCTTTCAGAGAAACTAGCTCGCATTTTACACAACTAAAAACCACTCGTCCCTTGGCGACACAATAAAACGCTAACACGGCGAGTGAGGGGGATAGAAGAATAGCGAGGTAAGAAGCAATACGGACGTGATGATTGCACGAGAAGAAGGAATTATATTACAGGTAGTCGGGGGAAGAAAGAGTAATGATATTAGAAGTGGACGAGGAAGAAGAAATAATGAGAGAGTTACTCTCACATTTACACATTACCACATACTGCGTGGGCTGTTTCGCATGTCACAAGAAACGCAATACGGAGGCAAAACGGCTTGATGGTGTTTGAAACAAAATTAAGATGTGTTGTCGAAATGAAACGCAGTACAAGAGAGAACTCGGGGATGTTATATTCAACACGTGGTGAATGATATCAATTTATTTCATCTCGCGGCGGTCGATTGACGGGTCGTGACGGTCGCGTCTTACACAGATGACGAGGAAGGCTCTTATCAGTTAATAATCGGATAATTCACAGACACGACAGAATCCTGGACATGGCTTCTCACGTAGTGAATGCATCCTTGTGAGAGACAGAGCGAGAGTGAGACAGAGCAAGAGAGAGAGAGAGAGAGTGTGAAGGAGAGCGAGAGAGAGAGAGAGAGGAGGGAGTTAGAGAGAGAGAGAGAGAGAGAGAGAGAGAGAGAGAGAGAGAGGAGAGCGAGAGAGAGAGAGAAGGAGAGCGAGAGAGACAGATAGAGAGAGGGAGAGAGAGCACTTAAGAGTAGCAAGAAATGGATCGAGTTTAAGAATAATCAATGCTCCCCCCCCCCGATTGGTTGACCGTATAAATATTGCACCCACAGTTAGCCCAAGTGGCCAGTGTACAGTCAAACCTGACGTTGATTGGTAAATTAAAATGGATAACGCGTCACACAAACCAGAGGCTGACAAGCCAAACGTAACCGGTCACCTGAACCTCCACCATAAAACAATATTCTAACGATATCAAAAAAATACCCACATGCTTTGTCTCCTCACATTCCATTTTATGCGATAGCAATTTCCTCGTCTGTTCGTCTCATCTGACTCGCACAAACAAAACCTCCGAATACTGTATATGAATGACATGAGTTCCATTTCCACGCACCCAAGTTAGTCCCTGTGATGAATTTCTGAGGAGCTGTCAACTTATCACAACTGCGAACGACAAGATAATACAACCCCTCAGCCCTGTCTTCTGACACCATGGAAACACTACAAAGCATACTCATGACAAGAACTGAGTACTAAACATGAACACACACACACATTCACACTGGCATTATAAATATTAATCATTTTCTATTCGTAATTAAATAAAGCTACTGTGGAAACTCCACATTCGATTAGACCTCTCACCCCCATTTTTTTGAAAATGACGTATTGGTGTTTATATTACGACAAGCACAATCACTCGAGTACACAACAAAAAGAAAAGAAAAGGACCGATTGCTGTTGATAGGTGGCGCCACGGTCAGCGAGTCAGACACCCTGCAGTTACATGGCCCGTACCTTCATTTGCTTCACCTTTGGCTGGCGTTTCTTCACATCACGCCGGTGGTCACGCTCCTGCAATACCAACAAAACTTCGTGGAAAACCTGATCTAAACTTTGCAGACTACACACTACGGCCATGGCTACTTTTTCGTATTTAAATACTAGCTCTTGTGATGCGAACTCATCAATGTTAATCGGTAAGGGATACACTAGGGGCACATAGACATAAAGAAACAGTAAGTGCCAGAGAGAGGTGGGAGAGGGAGGATGAGTGAGAATAAGAGTGAGAGGGGGAGAGGGTAAGCCATACGTACACACACACGCACGCACACACGCACACACACACGCACACACACACAGGGAAAGAGTACATAAGTAACAGATATCGACAGACACAGAGCAAGTCAGCAAACTGATGGGCGCGCGGACAAACAGAGGTAATGGTAAATATGTACAATCCGAGTGAGACAGGGAGGCAGGGGGGAGTGACGGGTGTAGGACGCTGTGATGCGGCGAGCGCTGCGACCGGGCGGGCGCTGCGACCGGGCGGGCGCTGCGACCGGGCGGGTGCACGATGTCTACCTCCATCTTGCGCTGCTTGTCCGGGTCATCCTCTGCGAGTATCTTCTCTTTCTCGGCGCGACGCTTGTCCTCCCTGCGCTGCTGAGCTTGCTCCTGCCGCTGTGAGTGCAGCTGCTTCAGATACTGCTCCTCCATCTTCTGTCTGTTCCTCTCCGCCTTAGTCTTCGCCTGAGAAGAGGCAGCACAACTCACAGTAATCACAATCGCAAGCGCATCAGCGCAATAACACAATCACACATCACGATAACTCAATCACAATTGGAGTATCACAATCACACAATCACAATTGCACCACCGCAATCACACAATCACAATTGCACCACCGCAATCACACAATCACAATTGCACCACCGCAATCACACAATCACAATTGCACCACCGCAATCACACAATCACAA